CCTCTATTTTTTTAATCTGTGTCCTCTCTAGATTTATTAATCATGTCTTGCACCATGAGCACAATCTTTGCTGCTATCTGAGTAATTATTTCTGATTTCATTTTTCCCAGGTCCTCTTTTGTTGCCAGTTCAGAGAGTCCAGGTGGTTGAGTATCAGCGTGTTCCATCTCGTTTCCCTTTTGGGTTGCTGTAGGTGACCCAGAGGTCTGGTTTTGAGGCTTGTTTATGTGTCTTCTCATTTCCACGGGGCGGGGGTGTGGTGCTTCTGGCACCCGCGTGGCTCACCTTCTCTGCCCTAGGAGCTTGGGATGGTGATGGGGGAGCTTCCTTCCAGGTGCTGGGACCGGCTGAGCTTCTCTGCCCTAGGAGCTTAAGATGGTGGCAGGGGAGCTTCCTGCTGGGTTCTGGGACCGGCTCACCTTCTCTGCCCTAGGAGCTTGGGATGGCAGCGGGGGAGCTTCCTTCCGGGTGCTGGGACCAGCTCACCTTCTCTGCCCTAGGAGCATGCAATGGCGGTAGGGGAGCTTCCTTCCGGGTGCTGGAACCGGTTCAGCTTCTCAGGAAGGACTGTTTTATAGTCTAATATTGCAATTACAGAAATAAATTAATTTGGAAAAGTCTACATTATAGTGAATAAGATGATGTTTTACTATTTGCTACCAATTAATGATAGAAAACTGAGTAGCAAGCTCATAGTTTTTTGAGTAAGAAAAGGCCGAATTATTTGTGTAAGTCTTTAGTTTTTCTTCTTTCTTAATACATTCATTTATGACCATCCTGTAAACCAAATTGTAGTAATTAACATGAATCTATGTTCCTGGCTGGATGAACATACTGAGGTTGTAGAAGGACTATTAAATTGCTAATGTAATGGCGGTATTGGAGTCCTATTAAGAGAAAAATAGGTTGAGGATATATTATTAGATTCTATTGAGTAGCTTTTTTTGTTGTTGTTGGTTTTGTGGGGGTTTTTTTGGTACCAGGGATCAAACTCAGGACTTTGCGCTTGCGAGGCAGGCGCCAGAACCACTGAGCTAAATCCCTAGCCTTCTATTGATTAGTTTTGTTTCCTTGGTATTTTATAGTGTTCCTATAGAACCTTACTTCAAGGTACATTTCTGTTAATAAAGGAAAGTCCTTTTAAAGGTTATAAAGTATATTTCAAGCTCAACCAAGTAATGACTTTCAAAAGCATTAGAAGTTCAGTTAGGTTTTTAGAATTTTAAAATACATTAAATTATATCTTTAGAACATGTAAACATTCTATGTTTAGCAGTATTTTCTGTTTGAGTTTTTTTCTCCACAAGCTTGTTCCCAAAGAGGTTTAACTGTTTTTGTTAGTGGATACTTTAACTATACTACAATATCCACTATAGCCAGATGTAGAATCTTCACCATTCTATGAGAAAGTAGAAAAGGAACAGAAGCTAAAATTACTCTGGAGAGGGGACACATAAATAAAGGAAGATAGAGTAAAGGAAGGTAGTATAAATGAAGATAGTGCACACATACTAAACCGTCTCTGTAGAGACAGGGACAGTATTGATTGAGAAATATATTTCATTTTTCTACTCATTCTCAGTTACTAAGGATTTAAAATCCAAAGGACAAAGTTAAATCTAGTTATTATTAAGTGAAAGGATAATTTTCTTTCTATTTTTTAAAAGGTTAACATTAGCTCTAAGTATCTGTTTATAGTTAAACTAGCTCAGGCTCAGTGACAGTTTTAAAAGATGTGTAAATGGTATTGAAGGCATTAAGGATATTCAAACCCATTTCAGCTTCAATGGAATCTACTATTTCTATTCTCTTACTATACCCCTGAAAAGGGAGAATATAAATAGTTACTATATCTTTGGCCTAGGACTAGTACTTCCTCCTTACTATCTCATGCTCATGAATTAATATCTTATAAATAATTCAGTTGGAGCAACTTTTTGAAGATGAGATTGCTGACTAATATAAAAAATATATTCAATCATAGTTATTTTTCTGATGAACTAAATTTAGTTCCATGTGATTCACTTCCCTAGGTTTTATAACATGAAGAATATAAGGAAGTGAATGAATCCTATTCATTATAAAAGATTCCAATACCAAACCATTGATTTCCCTAGAGGAAAAATAAAACAAGTTGATTATGGGGGTATTGTATTGCTAGGTGACTGTACAAATCTTTTAACAATGCATTTTATATATTATCTAAGATCAGTAGACCTAAAAGTAGCCTTTACTTTAATGAACATAATCTGTTTTTGCACAGTCCAAATATTTGTATTGATATAGTAGGCTTTAAATGCACAGAAGAATAGACATGTTCAAAATGAAGTGAAAATCAAAAAGTGAGGGGACATTTTCTTTTTGTTTATTCAGTTTTTACAGAAATAACAGTTTAAGATAATTTTTATTTAACATTTATATTACTTTTCAAGGAAAAGACCATTTCAGGCATGAAGAATATCATTGCTGAGATGGAGCAGGCATCAAGGTAAGGCATTCAACAAATATTTGAGCACTTAGCAGGGGCAAAGTACTATGTAAAGTGCAAAGAGTAAGGAACAAGAGGCTTAGTGTTATGGGTGAGGTGATAACTCTGTTAATGTTCAAGGGAGGTATGAATATGTCTAGGGAACTAAAAGAGAAGATGCTGTTTGCCAAGCAAAATAAAGAGAAGGACACTCAAAGTTTTAAAATGGCAAAGAATCACAAATCATATTCAAGAGGCTCGTGAACTACAAGTAGGTGAGTGTTGCTGGAACCCGAAATAATGAATGAAGGAAGAAGAAGCTAAACAGGCTCAAAGAGGCCTGTGTTATAGACAAATGAGTCTTGGTTTCACCTGTTGGGCCATAAAAAAATCATTGAAGACTTAAAGAGGGGTGTGTGTGTGTGTGTGTGTGTGTGTGTGTGTGTGTGTGTGTGT